TAAGCACAAAAATAAAATCCAAACTTCAAAAAAACTATGGGTGATGCTATGCTGACATAATTTTTTTTATTAAATCTCCATCCGAAATGATGTGATTTAATTTTTTACTATCAGATAAGTGGGTCTTATTAATATTTAATGACAGAGATTGTGTCACATCATTTAGTAGGCTTGTCAAAAATTGACATGACACGAATTAAGTAGATTTTGGTGAAATCTTATCGAGTTTAAGTGATACGGGTTAACTTGCCATACACATTTAATAAACGAGTTGTACTTGAGTGAGATATATTAAATCATTTATCACACATTTATCCATTTAAATAAAATTATTATAATAATAAATTAATAATTATTTAAAAAAATTAGCCAGAAAAAAAGAAGTAAAGAAATCAATACAAAAAAAAAAAAGTAAAGTAATAGTTCAAAAACAAAGGAGGATATATAGTGAGATGGAAAGATGAAGAGCAGTTTAAAGACAAAGTCAAACCAATGTCTTTTATTTTTGTTCCACATCGACAAATGAGGGGAGATGTGAAACGTTGACTTACCTATAAAAGTCAGTGGCCTCTTGCCTTTTTTTTAGCCTTCAAGACTAATTTTTATGTGAGATTTGACTATAATTTTTTCTTTTTTGAGGTAAGTACATTGTTGTAAAAATATCAATTGAAGAATGCTAAAAATCAGATAATAAACAAGACAAGAAAGCTTATCGATAAAGGTGTATAGTCACTGTCCTTAAGAATAAATTTTCGCCCCTCTGAGTATGAACACGGTGCAATAGGTTATGACGTCCTATCCTGCAGGATTTAACTATCACTTCTCTACAAGTGTGTACTCGCAACTTTAGAGGTGTCTCGAACAACTCTTGATCATTCTCAAATCAAAGTAATATAAGTAGTAGTATATTTATTGGTATATCAAGACACTGGTTGCAGCAGGTTGACATACTAATCACGAAATCTATTATATGTAAAACTCACTAATCAAAGGTTTTTTTTTTCCTTTTAACAGAAGGTTGCCTCTCAGTTATTCTTTTATCTAGCTCTTCTTTTTGTTTCCTTTTCTGTCCAAAGATCTATATCTCAAAGCAGTCATTCATCATTGCTTTGAATATCCATCCAACAGATACAATGAATAGGTTGCAATGGTTTGAAAGCTAGGTAAACAGGTTGCAATAGATTGAAATTTAGGTGTAACGGTCTGAAAATTTTCATAGTTATAATATAATATATTGACAGACACTTGAAAATGCATTAAAAAATTCAAACACTTGAATTTTCTTTGACCTATTGCAACGGTTTGCAATCAGATACTAACGGTTAATTACAAAATTCAACAGTTATTAACCAATGGTTATAGACTTTAAAATTACTCTAATGTAATATAATAAATTAATGCAATATAAGTGATAAAACAAATGGTCACAACGTGTACTGTTCAGATCATCCAATAAGTCTAAAAATAATTTTAAATAAAATATATATTTTTTTTAAACTTATATTCCAATACACATATATATGTTAGAAATAAATAAATATATATTATATTTTGAAATATATATTAAATACAACATAATTGATAGTAAAAAAAATAGAGTATTAAAATTTATTGATATAATTTTTTTAAATTAAATGAGTTAAACGAGTTAGTGTCGTATTACCCGTTTATTAAACGGATTGTAAATATGTTGAAATTTTTTACCTATTTATTAAATTTATTGTGTACAAATTTACATATTTTTTATCCTGTCGTCCATTTAACCCGACACGAAATCGTTTAACACCCCTATCATTTAGTATAAAAGATTTGACATTTTTCCAAAATTATATAGTATATCTTTTCTTTCTTTTGGAACAGACCAAAATTAAAGGAGCAAAACATGGCTCAATTACATGGCAAAAATGTCCTTTGCCTAGTGTGGGCTCTCTTTGTAGGTCTTTAATACGTGCAAGCCACGCTAGTAAATGATTTATTGCATTTGTTCTCACATATGTTAGTATATTTTTGTCAACTCAACTTGATCTACTCATATCAAACCTGGCATTGGCAGGCGCAAGCCAACAAAATTAGGATTCAAATCATATCAAATATTTGTTTCCCTTTATACATTTTTCTTTCATCATCCACCATATGTATTATGAGAAATATTATGTATTTTAAATTTATAATTCAAATTTATATTCTAAATGAAATGGGATAAATGAGTCTCATCAATTTTTTTAAATGAGACCAAATGATCTAATTGTCTCATTCATTTCAGATACAAATTTAAGTTGTAAAATTGAGTTACATAGCATTACTCATGTATTATTGAAAGACTTACATCCGCCCCGCCCCGCCCGCCATATTACATATTGAAATTAGATACGAATATTAAATACTCCAACCACATTATCAACATTCAATGCGGAGCCAATATTGAACACCATTCTCAAAGGACACATAAATAGAGGCGGAGCCAAAATTTCCTCTATCGGAGGTAAAAAAAAATAGCATATTTTTATTCAATGCAAATCATTCAATGAGATCAATAAATTTTTTACATGGTTAAAACATATAAGGATTAAACTCACACGGAATAGTGTAATTATTATTTTTAATAAAATAAATAAAGTTAATTAAAATTAGTTTAGTTATTAGATGTAAAAGTCAAACTAATTGCATCAATAGTCTAAAATTTATAGATTTGTTGTACAATATTAAAATTTAACGATATATGTAAAATGTCACAATTTTAATAGTTAATGGTTCAATGTAGTTAGATCATCAAATTTGTTGCTATCAATAGATTGATTAGAGATTATATTCAGAATTATAATTACTATTAATTTTATGATAATAATAATTTAATTAATAATTTCATCCAAATATTTCCATCGATTGCGGGTGGGTGATGAGGATGTTGCATGTGCAGCGTGGATGATACATTGCCGTGTGTGGCATTGCAAGTAGGCCTTGATAGTTTGATTATTACACATTGTGATAGCGAAGTCATAACGATGGAGGGAGATTTGTGGTGTTTTTCAAAGTGCATGGGCCCACATTTACATCCACTGTTACGACTTCCAAGTGTTGATTTTGACAAAAAGACAATGTTGTATGCGCCGATCTTATTTATTGATTTTATGGTTTTTTGTCATTAAATTAATAGTGAATTTCATCATTAATTAAAAATTAGAATTTATTATTAATTTAATGACTACAATTTATCTTGTTATTAAATAAAATTACTAAATTAGGTACTCAAAAATATTTCCTCCGACAAATAGGCTGGATTTATATAGCTCGACTTTATAAACTCCTTCCAAATTAAGAAATCTCCAATAAATAAAAAAAGATTTTCCGCTTGTGAAAGTAGAAAAAATGAGCAAGAGAGAGAAAATGAGGGGACTCCCGGCTAATTGTCAACCTTTACACATGGCTAATATTTTCTAGAAGAGAAATTATAAAATACAAAAATATTATAAGTGTTTTCTTTTTGGTTAGGCGATCGTGAATTTGTAGTTATATATATAGGATGTGAAATGTGAATTAAAATGACTAATATGCATAAGGTTAATATTGAGATTTATTGTGATCTTCAAAAAAGGATAATTTATTAAAAGTCATGGTGTGTGGAGAATGATTAATCTTTTTGGGTCAAGATTAAATTCTATCGTGCGTGTTGTTGAATTGACATTCCACATAATAGTCATTTTCTATTATGATATTTATATTCACTCTATTTTTAAATATATGTCGTTTAAGATTTTTGTATAAGAATTAAGAAAACTATTAAAACTCTAATATGAATAAAAAATAATTACACAAGATTAAAATAATTTTATTCAATATGTATTGGGAATAAAAGGAATATAAAAGACACTTACCCTCCACTAAATTTAATGCATTGAAAAATTAAGGGTAAATTTGGAAGAAAAAATATTAATTATGTTTTAATTTTATTAAATGACAGATATTATGGAACAAAAAAAATTGTATAAAACAACAAATATTTAAGAACGGAGAGAATATATATTTTGTAATTGTTGAATTCATTTAGTATAATACTCGCTAGGCTGGCTTGATAAGAAATGGGCAAATCTCTTGCTTAGTAGAATTTGAAAGGATTACAGATGGTCAACTACACTAAGCCTATTTGATTCATTTTGGTGGGACTATTAATCTAATTTAAAAATGTAAAGCTTTCTCTTCAGATTAATAATAAATCTCATCCCATGTTAGAATTGATAATGTCTATACATTTTTTTTAGTTTAATGATCATATATGTATGAATTAATTTATGCATATTTTGATTAATTTTTTTTTTTTTATAAAAAATAAATTATTTAAATTGAGAATAAAGTATTTATAAAATATATACCACACTTATGGCCTCACCTAAAAAATTATTAATAATGTTTATGCATTAAATCCTCAAAGCCATTGCTGAAAATTCAGACCCTAGGCCTAGGGGCTTGGATCTACTTCAAATTATCGTCCTTTTCCTTTACTGATCTAATCTCTTTCTGCCCACAGACTTCACAGTTAGCTTACCATTCAAAGGGTGTCACTTTCTGTCAACCACAAAAATTGTGTTGGTTTGCATGGTGTCCCACACATGTTTGAAAAAAAGACAAAGAGAGGTGTAGAACCAGGAAAGTCTCTCCCAAGACTGTTTAGATTCTTATGTTCTTCATTACTTTATTTTGTGTTCCCTTTCAATTCATTCTAGTCAATATCAAAACCCAAATTTTAGGGATTTGCTCCATTCTCCATTTCCTGGTAAATCACACAGTCGTCTTCTTCTCTCTTCAGATCACACAGAAATTTCAGTCTGCTGATATGCATAAACACCCATCTGCTGCTATGCATAAACACAACTACAAGAAGAAGAAGAAAATCTCTATTACAGGCTGAAAATATTGTTTTCATTATCTGAAAATCAATCTTGTTCAGTCCCAGATCATCGATATTGGGTACTTTGTATTAATTTCTGAATCGATTATACTTGGAAATGATCATAAAACACATTGGTTTCATCGTTTGTCTTATGTGTGTTCTTCCATCAATCCTAGCTTATACACCAAACAGGTGTAACCGATCATGCGGCACAGTTCAATCTAAACACCTGCCCTTCCCGTTCGGATTCTCCTCCGGCTGCCAAATCCGTCTGAACTGCACCAAAAATGGCACCATGGTTATCGATGACTTTCCGGTCCAGCAAGTAACATCTGATTCTATACTGGTCAACCTTCCGGCCCAATGTGGCCGTCCGGTCGAAACCCTCCACCATCTTTTCAGTCCAAACTATGCTCCGACGTCGCATAATGGAATACTTTTACAGAATTGTAGCACACCCCTCACGGCATGTTTGATTCCGACCACTATGGTTCAAACCCATTTTGAATTGCTTGATTGTGGATCAAAGGATGACAATATTAGCTGTTACTCGGAGCAGAACAACCGGAGTTTGTTCATTGATTACTACAACTTAACGAGAAGCCGATGCCGGTCACTTTTCTCGGCGATCTCAGTTGTGTCATTGGGGGGTATTAATAGCTCGGCGGTGTCATTGGAGGTTCAGGTGGTACAATTGGGGTGGTGGCTTGAAGGGCTTTGTCAGTGTTCCGACCACGCCCAATGTACTAAAATTTCTCCGCCGGTTAATGACCGGCTAGGATATCGGTGCCAATGCTTGGAAGGGTACCGTGGCGATGGATATCGGGCCGGCTTGGGCTGCCGGAAAGGTATGTTGCAGTTGCCGGAGTTGACTAAATAAATTTCATAGGTGCATTGAACTTTTAGAACATGCCTAATTGCACATTATTTATGCCCATTCTGTTTTTTTTTTTTCCTTTTTTTGGTGCAATTATTATGCCAAAATTCTTCTATTAACCTTAGAATGTCCATTTCTTAACTTTTTTTGCCGGAATTTCAATCGCGGAGGCTTTTATTTAAGGGTAAATAATAAACTCAATTAATCAGGTGTTTAAGGCAATATATCAAATTTCTACTTTTTTTCTTTCTTTTATCCTTCGTAGGGATGAAAAATTGGAAGCATGAAAAAATGTGAGAAATAGTCTTTCCATAATTGGAAGAAAGAAAAATATTTTTCCTCTTTTGAGTTTTGTTACATAGATGAAAAATTGAAAGAATTAATTTTTTATTATTTGGTATCGGAGGAAAAATAGAATATATGTCCTTAATTTATTAATATATAAACATATTTTTTATTACCAATAAAATTTTAAAGAATTATGGTCACTCTAATAAGTTATAAAAATAAATAAACAAATAAATATAGAAATGTATACCAAAAATAATAGTCAAAAAATATACATAGAAAAAATATATGTAATAGGATATTTAGAATTATTTCTTGATAAATGTGCTGGTTTTGATTTGAAATTATGGCATAATATTTAGAAGTATGTTTAAGAGTAAAAAAGTTAATTTGTTCAAAAAAGTAATTTGTCTTCGATTTTCCTTCCACTTTTGGGAGGAAAAAAAATGGTGGGTTGGAAGAAAATATTTTTTCTCCAATTTTCCTTTTTCTCCTTTCTTTATATCCAAACAATAAAGAATTAATTTGTTCAAAAAAGTAGTTTGTCAAAAAAAAAAAAAATGGCTGGTTGTAGGGAAATATTTTTTCTCCAATTTTTCTTTTTCTCCTATTTTTCTTTATAACCAAACAATAATTTTTTTTCCTTTCCATCCCAATTTTCTTCTCCCATTTTTCATCTATCTAACTTTCCATCAAATCAAACACACTATTAGGCTTGTGATACTTGGGAGAACCTAAGCATTAGAATTAATTAAAGGGTCTTCTTAGACAATTCAGTTTTTGAATGACTGAAAACACTGTTCCTCAATTATCATTACAACGTTAATCCATCAACAAAAGTACCAGCGACTGGTAGATTGTAGGACCAGCCCAAATGAAATCATGCCCTCAATTCCATCAATTCCACCGAATTCAGGGGTATTCTGTTCTCTCCATCAGTTGGTATGAGGTCAAGTCGAACTTATAATCAAGTGGCGTAGCCATCCAAATTTTCGGTCATCATTTGGTCGTAAAAGCAATTTGTTTCTTTTCAAGTCCCAAATCCCAATCTTCTATTAGAAAAATGTAGTAGTTGACCTAATATTAATAGTGGGAAAAGGAACCTCTTGGTGTTGTTTTCTTCTTGTAGAGACATTTCAATGTCCTTATTGTTTTACCTTGAGAAGATCTTATAATGCAAGCCTGCAATGTTTTTTATTATTGAAGTGCCAATATACTGAGCTTTGAGAAAGAGAGAGGCACCTCGCACCTGATGGGGAACTGATTCTCACTACTGATGCAAACAAGCATGGAAAGTTTAATGGCAATTTTATTTTCTATATAGAATTCAATTCACCATTTTCTGCTATTTTTTCTTATGTAAACAGAATCTACAGCATGCAACCCTTCAAAGTACTTGTCTGGCCGATGTGGAGGAACAACAAGAATTGGCGCTTTAATTGGAGGTAATCCTAGCTTTTCCCCACCAATTGGGAAAAAATAGAACTTTTTTTCCTGCAGTTTGCTGTATGAAATCTGTCAATTGGTCCTACCATTTTAAAAAAATTGTCTACCAAAGTTCTTCATGTTTGCCAATAAAAATGCTTGTACCATTAACTTTTGAGTAGACAGCTTCATTACTCATATTAGTTCAGTGTCATACAGATGGTATAAGTAGCAAGGCCAGTTAGGACTATCTGACTGGGAAAATTTTCCTTCTCAGGTGTCGTCGCCGGAGCTGCTTTGATGGTCAGTGTGGGTCTAATATGCTGTTTTATTCAACGACGATCCAATTTAAAAAGCAGAAACAGAACAAATCGCCAACTTTGTGAAGCTACAGGCATCAGCATTCCTCTCCATCCCTACAAAGAAATTGAGAAAGCCACAAATTTCTTCTGTGATGAACAAAGGCTCGGAACTGGGGGCTATGGGACAGTATACTCAGGAAAACTGCAAAATGATGAGTGGGTTGCTATTAAGCGGATCAAGCATAGAGATACTGACTGCATTGAACAAGTCATTAATGAGATCAAGCTCCTCTCTTCTGTGAACCATCCGAATCTCGTTCGCCTCTTAGGTTGCTCCATAGAAAAGGGTGAGCAAATTCTTCTTTATGAATATATGCCTAATGGGACTCTATCTCAGCATCTACAAAGAGAGAAGGGCAATGGACTTTCCTGGTCGGTTCGCCTCACGATTGCCACTGAAACTGCTCAAGCCATATCCTATCTACATAATGCTATGAACCCTCCCATTTATCATAGAGACATCAAGTCCAGCAACATATTACTGGACTATGACAACAAATCAAAAGTTGCTGATTTTGGTCTTTCTAGACTAGGTATGGTTGAATCATCCCACATCTCGACTGCANTCATACAGATGGTATAAGTAGCAAGGCCAGTTAGGACTATCTGACTGGGAAAATTTTCCTTCTCAGGTGTCGTCGCCGGAGCTGCTTTGATGGTCAGTGTGGGTCTAATATGCTGTTTTATTCAACGACGATCCAATTTAAAAAGCAGAAACAGAACAAATCGCCAACTTTGTGAAGCTACAGGCATCAGCATTCCTCTCCATCCCTACAAAGAAATTGAGAAAGCCACAAATTTCTTCTGTGATGAACAAAGGCTCGGAACTGGGGGCTATGGGACAGTATACTCAGGAAAACTGCAAAATGATGAGTGGGTTGCTATTAAGCGGATCAAGCATAGAGATACTGACTGCATTGAACAAGTCATTAATGAGATCAAGCTCCTCTCTTCTGTGAACCATCCGAATCTCGTTCGCCTCTTAGGTTGCTCCATAGAAAAGGGTGAGCAAATTCTTCTTTATGAATATATGCCTAATGGGACTCTATCTCAGCATCTACAAAGAGAGAAGGGCAATGGACTTTCCTGGTCGGTTCGCCTCACGATTGCCACTGAAACTGCTCAAGCCATATCCTATCTACATAATGCTATGAACCCTCCCATTTATCATAGAGACATCAAGTCCAGCAACATATTACTGGACTATGACAACAAATCAAAAGTTGCTGATTTTGGTCTTTCTAGACTAGGTATGGTTGAATCATCCCACATCTCGACTGCACCACAGGGGACTCCAGGATATCTCGACCCTCAGTATCATCAGAACTTTCATTTGTCTGACAAAAGTGATGTTTACAGTTTTGGGGTTGTTCTTGTCGAGATCTTAACAGGATTAAAAGCAGTGGACTTTTTGCGACCCCCGAATGAAGTGAATTTGGCTAATCTTGCCATTGAGAAGATAGGTAAGGGGTGTTTAGAGGAGATAATCGATCCATTCCTGGAACCAGACACAGATGCTTGGACTCTTTCATCAATGCACAAGGTGGCTGAGATGGCATTCAGATGCCTTTCATTTCACAGGGACATGAGGCCTTCGATGATGGAAGTGGCAATTGAATTGGAACAAATCAGGCTTAGTAGATGGGTGTCATCGGAAGAGAACATCACAGCTTCATCTGAAGTATCCTCTTGCTCATCAACATCTAATTTAAGTGAGAAACCACTAGGCCTGACAGTAAAGAAACCTGAACTGGAAAGCGGTCTATTTGCCAGCATGAATTCAATGGACAGTGTGAAGGACTATTCCTTTATCTCTGTGCAGGACCTGTGGCCAAGTGAACAAAGCTCCCCATCATCTAACCGTTTACTCAGCAATGTAATTCAGTGATCTAAAGCTGCTGTTGTTTCTGGTGATTAGCTTATGCACTGTTTGGACAGCATTTCAAAAGCAAAAATTGCTTTGACATTCGGTCTCAGAAATGTCAGCATAGCTTCAACTCCTCCTGAAAATAGTATCATCAAAAATTGCTTTCTCAGGCTTGCATTTAAATTTTAAGCAGTAGGTAGAATAGGGATCTTGCTCTACCATTTTCTTGAATTGATGAAGTGAGCCAGAGTTTACCATAAAATACTTAGGCTTAAACGCAAGTTATCTATATCGGAACTAGATTATTCATGAACGATAAATTTCACGTGACCTAATCGAAAGAATTATCAAAATTCAAACTCTCCGCGTTGAGTTTAAAGTTTGACCCTATTATCAGTTAAACTATTCTCAGAGTAATGAGCCCAAGTTGGGACTTCCTGCAACAATCATATTTTTAGTGTCTCTTTTATCAATAACAAGGATGGTCAGTAGTAAAGAGACCCAATCTGTTCAAACGTATGGATGGAGAGAGAGAATGACTCAGAAAACTGTAGCTTTTGGGTGTATGAAGATTCTGAAACCTTTAATTGACATCATCGTCATCTTTCAATAAAACCCCTAATTGACTCGTGATTGCCAGCTGAAGCTTCATTGCTCAGAGAACTGAATCGCCTAACCCAGTAAGCACCGTCCCTCCTCTTGTTGTATTGGCACCTTCCCTCACTGCTGACGGCGGCCCAAACTACGTTGCAGCAACGCCCTCCGTTGAACAAAAGCAATCATAATTAATGTCACTCCCAACAACCAAAACCAACGATCGAAAAAGGCCCAAAAGCAGAAGTCATCAAAAAGATGCTTACTGACACGTGGTCGGCTCACAACCCTAGTCGGACAAATAAATTTTGAGAATAACAGTTGCACTACCATCGATATTTTTAAATGAAATTCGTGATGTTCACTTGTATATTTGTTCACATGTTGGTGGATAGTAATATGATGAGATACTATCGGCGAAATGTTTATGAAGTCCATCAATCCACTTATTCACTAACACAATGTAATTGTTTGAACCTAAAATATAAAATTATAAAAATATTCAATGCATTAACATCTGACGAATTTAAAGATATTAAGAAAAGGTCATGTGGTAGGAACTGAAGAAAAAGTAAGAGATGATCGATCACAACCTTAGTTGAAAAGGAAAAAATTATTTGAGAGTTATAAATCAGATAATCGTTGTTAGAGATTGACGGTGCTTGAAATTGTTATACCCATTTGCAAAACAACTACTGTGTGAGGTCCAATGGGGACTTTACAAATGCTTGGATCAATGGGAAAGTAAGCGTTGATGTTGGATCAAAGAACAAGGTGTAAGTGGTTCACTTCAGCCGAAAAATCAATGCTACACCACTGTAACAGAAGTTCCTATTTCTTGGAGTGATATTATTTAAAGAAGAAGACGGTGGTTACAGTTGATTTCTTGACCAAGAGTCTTTCTACACAGTATTTATTAAGTAAAGTTATGAAGTTTTCTGTTTTACGGTGGTTTTATCTTTTATTTATATATGTGGTTATCTAGAATTTTTGTGATTCTTATTTTTTTTGACTAATTCTATGGTCTCCTCTTCATTTGTCCTGTAACGGGATTTGCCCTGACACATTTTGTACCCACGATTCTTATAAACGGAATATATACAAATATTCGCTTTATTTATTCGGTAGAGTCATTAGAGGTTGTCTCCCTGTCCTCTGGACACGTGACTCGACCAGAGCTGCTTGGGGACCCTCCTGTACCAAGATACTTACTCTCGAGCAAGCACATGTCTCTATGCTTGATATGATCGGGCTGATGTATCCAAACTGATAGATCTTGGGCTCTTTATGTCCCTAGGCTGTGGCCCAATTCCATTGACAGGAGGGTGCTTTGCCGGTGGGCCGCTAAAATCCTCCTTTAAAGAGGCATGTTTGGATGTACTGGAGTCCAAACGGACGGCTCAAAACTTAAGTCCATCATTATCAGAGACAAACCCGTTAAAGGTAGTGACTACAAAAGACAGATAATGAGGAAGTTGTAGCATTCAAATCTTCACGAGATTCACGATCTGAGAATTTTTGAGAATAGTGTTAAGTTAATTATAAAAAGTAGTTATTATTATAACTAAGATTGCTAATTTAATCTTTCTATAATTGAAATCCCTTCAATCGAATTAATACAAAAAAAAAAAAAAATTATTAGTGCACGATTCTATATTTATCATTTTAAATTAAACCCATTACTAATAATCACCTAAAAATTGTCTATTAATTAAAAAAAACATATTTCATCAATAACAACAATTTTTGAAGAAAAAACGCGGGTCACGCGAAGAAAGTTGTAACCATTACATTTACATTATAAATATTTTCTCCTAGTGGGCCCACACGCTTGTCGAAGAATGAATTGCCAAGTTATGAACTTGGAACGGTCGAAACCAAACCAAACTCTCCAAGAAAAGGGAAGAGAAAAGCCAAAATCTCCAACCCACCTACGTAAAGACAAGCTCATCTAATATATGCCGCGAATCTTCTGTCTCTTCCAACCCCAGCTGGACTTTGAATTTGAATGAGTTTTTTTCCAATCAAGTTGATATCATGTTGAATTTTTTTAATTTATATCAAATTAGTTTTATGTCGTATCTTGCCATGGTTAAATTTTTATATAAATTGATTAGTAGAATTCGTATGATATTTAGTTGAATTAGTATTGATAAATTTATTTAACAAGTCCATCTATTTTTTATTTAAACTTATTATGATTAAACCCAAAATGCATCAATTTCTAGGGGTTGTTCAAGTAATTAAATTTGTTCTCTTCTCACACCCTAAGGTCTAGCCAGCTCCTTGCTCCTCAAGAAGCATGTGTTTAAAATAACTTGATTCAATATAAAATTGAACACTCTATATCAAAAATACATAAATAAATCCAGCACGCATCAAATTCACAATTGGCTTATAAACTTTTCTAGTCTTGGCCAAGCCCCCAGGTCTCCTCTATATAAATACAAGACATCCCGTTACCAAACCATACTAAACTCAAGGCTTCCAAAAGGCAGAGTAACATCAACAATGGCTGCCACTAGATTGCCACGTATGTCAAGACCATTGGGTCTTGGTGCACCATCATCTTTCTCTTGTTCGTGTAATTCCTCACTATCATCGTCGACTATGAATATGATGAGGTTAAACAAGGTGGGGTTTAATGGCGAGAACACGATTACTGAGAATGGAGAGACGAAAGCTATGGCGGCGTTGAAGGCATCGGTGGCTGATTCGGACAGGGTGGTCACCTCAAAACCGCAGACTGAAGGAGGAGTTGATCTGACTTCAGTATTGGAAAACGTTAAAGCTGTTGTGAGGAAGAGCTTCAAGGTACTGGTTACCAAAGGAAGGCCATGGAAATTACGTGCTCAGTTGCTCATTGAAAAGGTATTTCAAAAATTTTGTTTGTTGGGTTACATGCGTTTTGGGCTTGTTTGATTGAATTTTGGAGAGGGGTTTAAGTTGACTTATCCAAAATTTAAATCTTTTTAAACTTAAATTCAAATTCGATTAAACTCGATCTCTATTTTATAAAGAAGAGATTCAACATTCAATCCGATTCATACTATGTTTGATATTTAATATATATATATATATAACTCATTTATATATCATAATTATTATTTATTTTATAAATAATTTGATCAATTTAATTTATACCTTTGTTAAAGGGTAAAATTATTTTTTAGATTCTTTACCCCTCATTTATCTTCTCAAATCCACCTTCTCATAATTTTGATTAAGAATTTAATTTTTTGGTCAACGAGTCGAATTTAAAAATTTGGGGTTAAAATGTCAAATAAACATGAGATTTAAGAAAATTTTAAATTATTTTTTCTAAACTCAATTTGTCGCACACCTCGTACTCCCCTGCCAAACAGCCGTTTAGTTCTTTTGGAAGAAACAATGTTACCTTCTGGTCAGGTTGTCACAGTGGTCATTAGTTCTTTCTTTAGTACTTTTGGGATTTTTATTGTTGATCATCTGCCTGTCAAGACAGAGTGCTGAACAGTGGAATTTTGTAGAGGACACAGACACTGTTGTACTAATCTAGGCCACATAATTTTAAACGGCCAACGCTTCGAAGGTCCGTACCCAAAAAATAATACTTTTATGTATTCTACTTCTAATTTTCATTTAATAAAAATGTAATAAGTGAAATATTTTTTTTTATTGTATTATTTCTACTTTAGCTTCTTTTTCAATTGATTGTTAAAAATCATCCAAATCAAAATCTACGACTCCGAGCAATTTCTATACAAGTATCAAAGCCATGCACATGATCAACATGCTTGACATGCAACGGCATTAGGGTCTCTAATATTTTCGAGATAATTATAGAATAATATTGTCTAAAGATTTTTTACTAAACAATAAATCCATGTTTACTTGACATAGAGTTCTGTAGCAATCTAAGAATCACTTAATCAAAATCATGGAACAATTGTTTTACAACTGAGGTAGAACTATATACATTTATGTTTCGTTTGGTAGGGAGGATGGAAAGTAGAAATGATATACTTTCTTATTTTTGTATTTGGTTGGATAAATGGATAATAAAAATGACTAATTTTTTTTTAATTTTTTTTGTAATAGCTAAGATTAAAATTGACAATCGAATCGTGTCGTGTCAGATTCATGTTAAATCATAAAATTATGAGTCTTTTCTTATTCTCGTGTCAGGTCATTTTTAAGTTCGTGTTATAAAATTTGTATTGAGTTCGAGTCGTGTCATTGTGTTGAGTTAAAAATTTTCACCCCTAGTTAAGATGAAAAAAAATATTTTGAGGATTCTTCACTGTTCAAACTAATGCTCCGTTTAATACAATGAAAAATTAAGGAATAGAAAGTTGGAAAATAAATTTGAAGAATAAATAAAATATTATATTTTGTAAATAAGAAAAATATGAATGGTGAAAAAATAGATTGATGAAATTTCCTTTGAACTCACTAAAATTAGTACCTCCAAAATTAGAATGAAAGTAGATAAAAAGTTAATTATTTGTGTTAAAATGTATCTTATTTGTTTATATATCTTTTAATATATACATATATTAATTTCATATATAAATATAATGATGAAATATGTATTTTTTTTTTTTTAAAAAAAAAAAATATTTTTTCCATATTATCATGTACAAAAAAAAAATTAATTATTTTTATTTTTCAGTTATTCTACCAAATATAAACGAAAAAAAATATATCATTCATATTCTTTTTTCTTGAAGAATAAAAAATATATAGATCCTATTTTCTATTCTTCTTACTTTTTATTTTTTTAAACAAAGGGAGCACAAGGTAAATGAAATCCAAGAACGATGCAGAGAATAACACTTACATTTGGCCATCTAAACTCTTGACTTTTTTTTATTGTGCAGGTTATAATTGACTGTCGATTCTTCACGTTGTTTGCAGTTGCAGGATCCTTGATTGGTTCAGTATTGTGCTTTGTAGAGGTAACATATATAGCTATATGAAACAATTGATGATTTCTCTTAATTAGACTTATATATAATAAGCACCTGAGGTTTTGTGTTTGATTAAAGGTTACAAATCTTTTTGACATATTCTTATTTCAGGGTTCTTTTATAATTCTAGAGTCATACTTGCAGTATTTCCATGCTCTTTCTGAAATATCAGATCAAGCCCATGTTGTGCAGCTACTTATTGAAGCAATAGGTACTGCTCTCCCTCTCTCTCTCTCTCTCTCTCACACACACACACACAAACACACCCACCCAATTCACATTTTAAAATTTCAAGATGGCCAATATGATTCAAAACAACTGAATTTGTTCTGCAGATATGTTCCTTGTAGGAACTGCACTGTTTCTATTTGGGATAGCATTGCATGTCATGTTTGTGGGACCCAAAAATCTAAAAGGAAAAGGGTCGCAGCTTCCAGGATCAAACTTGTTTGGGCTGTTCTATCTCAAGGTACTGCTACTTCCTCATAATACACTTGCAAAGGCACCTTAAGTCCTTCACGTACGGTAATGGAATCTAAATATTTATTCATGATTTTCTAAAGAAATCTGTAAATGTTGTTTTCCAGACACTGCCATCGTGGGTAGGAATGCAATCAGTCACGCAAGCCAAATCAAATATCGGACATGCAATGATGATGATACTTCAAGTAGGAATTTTGGAGAAGTTCAAGAGTACACCTTTGGTTACTGGGTTGGACCTTGCCTGTTTCGCTGGATCTGTGTTTCTTTCCTCAGCTTCTATATTCCTTCTCTCAAGGCTTACTGTTAGTGGAAGGAAGTGGAATTGTAGTAGATAGGTGAAAAGAGCGGGTACAAAATTTTTTTCACTGCATGTCTAAAAAGAGTCGAACTTATACAACCTTATCCCGCATCTCTAACCTTTGACACCTAGGTAGGTCTACGTACTACGGTAGCCATATCAGATTTATGGGGAGCAAATTACATACTCAGACAGGCCCGTGTCCTATTTTGTAGCTTGTATCAACTATGTTAGTACGCCTCTACAAAGCGAAGAGATCCCATTACTAAGAGGAAAAGCAAGAAGATCTCTATATGTGGAGTGGAGGTTGTATGTACAGTATTGGAGTGGCTGTAGCAGTTTTGTCAAAAAAAAAAAAGGCATATATGAAAGAACATTACTATACAGACTCTTTCTTGTTTAATTTGTTCATGCTAAGGATATTTTCTTTCCTTTTTTAAGGTTTTTGTGAGTCATTAAGTTTTTAATGTTACATGTGAAAAATATCTTGATGAAGTACCCAATTTATTATGTAAGAAAAAATACTACGGTGACTAGTCATGTTAATCATGTTGGTTGAGGCAAGTTTGTATTAATAAATTGGTGTCAAAATTTATTTATTCTATATCTGATTCATTTTTGAATTTGTGCCTAACGAATTATGTTATATCGAATTCGTGACTTATATGAATCGTGTATAATTAATATATAAATGAGTTGTATTGTATGTATTTTTTTTAATTGACTTAATTTATACCTGATTCTTTTATTAATTGTGTTATCTCAGGTCCACATGTTTAACAACCGGGTGGATTAACGAAGACTCAAACTCTATAATTTCACGTTATGGTAACGAGTCATGTTATATTTTGATACCTTTAACGGTGAAACCATTTCATTATCACTATGTAGTATCATCATTCAATAAAAATATAACAAATGAATTTCACATATTTTAATAATAACCCTCAATGTTATTTAGTAACCACCATATGTAAAAAATAGAATCTATTTTATTCATTTTGTTACAATTCTATTGGATGGATGGTGACATTACTTCATCTTCATCACGTAGTATTATCATTCAATAAAAACATAACAAATAAGAAAGTAAATACCAAAAATTTTAGTAATTAATCACTCATTCATGTCATTTAGTAACTACTCATGTAAAATAAATAAGATCTACTTTATTAATTTTATTATATTTCTATTGAATTATGGCATTATGTGACATTAACGAGTTGATATCACCGTTACAACGAATATTTACTCTTTTTATATGTCATAGTGTCAATTGTGGTGTGCTAGTGATTTATTCTAGTACAAAATCACATAGGACAATTTTGTTATTTTTAACTCTAAAGGGGTGAAATGCTAATAGTTAAATCATAGGGGTTAAAAGAAGTTAACCCTGATTTTTATCCAACTAATGTAATATTAACATTTTTTTATTGGAAAATATTCTAATAATAGACGGAAATTTCGCCCCCGTCAATTTCAATAAAAGACTAATTTAGAATATTTATGTGGTCAGCTAAACTTGACTGATCATTAAGTTTCATCCGTTGGATCACTTCCTTGAGTTTCACAGAGAAGGTGCGGGACCCACGTAATGTACGGTCATTTATTTTGACGTGACAGCAGAGGGGAGCTCTTACGCTTTGGTGTACTGTGCTAGCTAAGTCCTAACCAGCTATCTCACATCGACGAAACTTGAAAAGTTTTGCTCATTGAAATAACGAAGGCTGCTAGTCCCTTCGGGGACATCCGATAAAATTGGAAAGATACTAAAAAAGTTTACATGGTCGCTGCGTAAGATAACACGTACAAATTGAGAAATAGTCCAAATTTTCTTTTGGACTCTTTTCTCCCTGTATTCTGAACTTCAAGTTACCAAACTGCCCTCAAAATTATCTGCTACCCCGAAAATAACCCTTCCTGCGAGTCCACCTGTTCCTCTCCTTCTCAGATTTTTTCTATTCAGCTGAAAATCGATTATCTGAGACTTCTAGGGTTTGGTGGCATGGTATCGAACCGGTAAATATCCTCTCTTCTTCCTTGAATTTTTCTGATATAAGAACATAACTGGATAGTTTTTGTTTTACCTATGTCTTTTCTTGTGAATGTTTGATTGTACCGTAGCTGTTGCGAGTTTGTTTGATTTCTTTGTTGTAGTTCATCATCTTTTTTTTTTTTTTTTCTGTTATTATAGTAAATTATGCTAATATTGAAGGCCAACTAGGTTTTCATCTCTGATAACGAACAAGAATTTATATTTATTGGGGATTACTAGACGATTTTAGACTAACGTAGGAGAGAGCAGTAGATTCTTTAGCTTAAGAAACAATAATTTTTCGTTACTTTCTCTTTCGAGTAGTCTTCTTCAAGGCTTGTTTGATCTCTGGGTTAAATTTGCAAAAGCAATTACTTTTGAAAAATGCCCCATATATTCGTAGCAATTAGCAAATGTGTATCACTTCATGATTCTTCGCTGTTCGGATCTTGACCGGGTCAAAGCTTCCTTCGGGTCTGGCTCGTCTGCTGTGACCAAAAAACAGCACACTGTGATGTTAAATGAAACGCAACGTTTCATCCATTTAAAGTGATTTTATATTATATTTTCAAAATTTTCAAATTGAACATTACATAATATTATATTTTTAATTTTCAAAAATTTTAATATTACATAATATTATATTTTTAAATTGAACATTATAATAATTTGCGCTCACCTAAATTAATCTTCTTCCTGGTTTGGTTAAAAGTTGACCATCCACGAAAAGACTAGGATATTCATGAAGATAAATCTCTTATTGTCTTGCGCTAAGAGATTACCAACATTTTTACTTAGGATGTTTGTGTTTATAGCTCGTCTTTGTTACTCCTTGAGATACCCCTTATGGTTTTTAGTGGTTTTATTTGATATTGAAAAGTGTATTGATTGAATAGTTTGACTATGGGAACCGTAAAAAAAAAATGTTTTTGAGTAGGAAATTTTTTTTTGATGAATTTTTATCATTTGATCAAAGAAAATAAAAATTGGATTAATTAAGAATTTATTGTGTTTTTATAAATTAAGAATTAAATCCATATCAAAGTATTTTAATCAGATTTAAATTCGGCTCAATCGAAAATAAATTCAAATCTGATCGGACGGCTCTGGTTGTAAGTAACAGGCTTGCCCAGCGTAACCCACCCGGACCCGAGCATGAAAGTTTGGTTTTGTTGTGTGTTTGTGCAGTAGAATGCCACGTGGTGTGATCTTTCTTTGACTATTGAAGTCAATAAAAATAAAGGAAAGGATAAAAATAGGAACAGCATTGGGACCCACTTTACACCTGTATCGTGAAAAAACATCAACAAGCAGAAAAAACAAAAAAAAAAATTACAAAACGCTACCGTTTTAGAGAACTGCAGACCCTGCTGTTCTTAGAGAAAAGTAGAGGAGCCGGATTCGACAATCATAAGAACTTCGATTTGTGTTTTCTGTGTCATGTGCCTTCTCTGCCCTCTTTACACGAACTCCGCACATTTGGGACCCATTTCTTTGTTGTTCTCTTTCATAATTTTACTACTAATGTCTTTTTATAAAATTCCCTCCCTATGAAATTTGAATAAGTGTTGTATTGTATCATTTATAACCTTATCAACACCCACAATCTCCATCTATAACACATTCAAGACCTGCGATATGTCTCTTTTTCCGCAAGCTTCTTTTCTGAAAATCAAGCAAACATGAGGGATGGTAGTTCTTGTTCACTGGGCGCTTAATTGTTGGCACTCACTATTTTGATTTTATCCAGAAATTTGTATTAAAATTTTATAGAGAGAGAGAGACATAATCATGGGTCTTGCGTGTGCAGAGAGATTGTGCAAGGGAATGCAGAGAAAAGACTTCTCTTTGGATCTAAATTCGTCATTTATTGATACCAAATTTACATATAAATTTGAACGGAGGGATGATTTTCATTGATTGCCAAACTACAAATAATAAGATCATGAATTTGGAAGCAACATGGGCTATCACCGAAATTCAATTCATCAATGTTTGTTAGGCCCTTTACTCATCTGCTTCAACACCTGAGCTTCCCCATTATTGAGTATTGACCATGGAGCTTGATTTTACACCCTGCTTCTTTTTGCTTCAATGGGACTCCAAACAAGAAGGAATTGAAACCTATTTCTCCACTGATATTGAAGATTGATAGTTGATATAATCGAGAAACCAAATGAAACACAATAGTATAATAGTGAAGGTGAAGGAGGATGAGTTCTCTGGTAGCAACACAATGGAGTAAAAGATATAATAATCGATAGACTCAACTGAGACTAGAGGAAAGACCTTTTTAGAGAGAGAAGTCTTCCATGTTTTGTAGAGGGAATCTCCTGATTAAGACTTTGAGAACTTGTTTTGGAGGGATTTGTTTTCCTGTGCAAAACTAACTAAAACACCCGCGTTTTAATTAACAACATACTTTTACTCACAACAGAGGAGTTGCACCCACTTGTCAAACTCTATATTGTTGGGGAATTCTGCAGGGATTTTATTAGCATCTTTATTTACTATTGTAAGGGATTAATCCGCACCGGGATATCCTTCACCCATTGAAGGATTGTCTTCCTCCAAAAGAATTCTGGTTGGCGTGGACCCCTTCTTAAGACAATCCAATAATCTTTACCTCTCAGTGCCCATGAAGAGCTCCTCCCACATCGACTAAGAGTTGTTTCTCTCCCCACCTCCCCCCCCCCAGCATATAAGCCAAGTGCTAGTGGGTACCTCCTCTATATGAAGCGTAGGCTTATATGCGGGAGGTGGGAAGAGAAACGACTCTTAGTCGATGTGGGACGAGATCCTCATGGGAGACTGAGAGATAAAGGTTACTGAATTGTCTTAGGAAGAGGTCCAAGTCAGTCAGAATTCTTCGGTGGAGGATATACCGATGCGGATTAATCCCCTACAATTATATTCAAGTTTTTGGAGTACTTTGAGATTATATTTTGCATCGAGGATTTGTACTTGTGGCCGGGATTGAATATTGCGGATTTGGTGCGAGTTCTTAGACGTTCGTGTGCTATTAACTTTCTTGTGCAGATGTTATCTGTAATTCAGCACTCAGCCGGTTTTGCATTTATGGGGATCTCAAACATAGTACTTATTCCTTCTCAATTTATTCTCAGATGCCATCTGCTAGTGTAGAAATCATTGGGATATATACGAGGAGCAATCCCATTAGCTGCCTCAAAAACAAAATTATGTTAATAGTATACAAAGGGATTGGTCTGTTTAGCCCGAATAACACGAATAAGACAAAGATAAACTCGTGTAAGAAATTTTTTTGTTAAAAGGATTTTGAATCTTGACAATTTTTCGGGGTCAAAATATGAGAAATTTATTCTCATAAATTTTTTATTCTCCTAAATTTCTTAAATTTTTTTTTGACATGGATGATTTACCTTTAATTGGACCGAAGAGAGGATTAGTCTTAGTGTATGAAAGTTAATTCGAACATTTCTGACCGTAGAGTTAAAAAAAAAAAAATTATGACAACACCTCGGCATTTGATAAATGAAATGACTTTATCTTCTTTCTGATAATGAATAATAGATGAGTATCCTATATCAAGGTTAAATATTACTACAACTAAAAAAATATCTGAAATAGCAAGATTGGCCCCTTCTCACTTGTACAATTTGATTAAATAAATGTTAATTGATTTTGTTCAAGGTAATAATCAAGTTTAGCTAAGGTTGTCAAAGTTACTTTAAAATTAAAATTTCCATTTACGTTTTCGTGTCATTTTACAAAATTTATGGGGCCTAAATGAACTTTACCCAGTGTAAATACAACAGGAAGCCCAACCCTAAGTCAGGGCAAGAAGCCCAAACCCTAATTTGTCGCCGCCACCATCAACCCTACTAATTCTGACACACAAAGCCCAACCCTAATTCATCTTAGGTGGGCTCTCTGCCTGTGACCTCTCTGCTACGTCCGCAGATCCATTTCTCTCTCTCTCTCTCTCTACTACGCTTTTCCTTCATCTACCAGGCCGTGTTCCGATAGCCAAAATTGAAAACAGTGCAACTCTGATATAATCAGGCGTTGCTCCAGCGTAGAGACAGAGAGTNTCTACTACGCTTTTCCTTCATCTACCAGGCCGTGTTCCGATAGCCAAAATTGAAAACAGTGCAACTCTGATATAATCAGGCGTTGCTCCAGCGTATAGACAGAGAGTCCGTTTCGCGTGCATTGATTCATGAATTGAGTGCTCGTGAAAAAGCTTTTGTAAATTTCTCCGTTAGTCTTTATTCTTTACTTCGTCTTTTCTGTTCCTAGGTAAGCTTCATATCCAGTTTTAGGAAATTAATGTCTCCTTTTATTTGATTCAGTTTTTCTTCTTTTCTCTTCGATTGAAACATCGAATCTCTATCTGGTGTAATGTGGGGGGTTTCTCAGTGATGACTGATATGATGACGAGTCCGATCAATATATCCATTCCATTCAACCCTGACGACAAATCGAGTAGCTGCTTAGGAGTTATAGCTTTAATTTGGAAACCTTTGGAGGTTGAGGCATGGAATGTTAGACATTCTTTGTAATGTGATTGTTTGCCTACTTTTCCTAATTCTCTTACCTGGTTTCCTGTCTTGATGTTTGCCTTGGTAACATCACCGATTCATATAAGGCTTGCCACCATGAACCAATGGTTGTGTCTGGGCAGGCACAATGGCCATCAACAATTTGATGATTGATGATTTGTATTTCTTTATATGCTCTGGGAGAGAAATGAGGCAGTTTTTGACTCAAAAGGCTTGGAGCCCAATGTCCTCTGTTACAAATTATAGGGTTTGCAGGTTATCATACATTTGCATTCATGTGGCCTCTCATATTGTAAAAGTTGTTATTTTGAATGGAATGGATATAAAATTGTTGAATGGTTTAATAAGGTGGCAGTTTTTGGGTGGGTAAAACATGCTGCCTATGGGAAAAGGATGGTAATGGAATGCACTTGGTGCCTTCTTTTGGTTAAAGTAGTTATAAGAGCAAGAAGAGGGGTTANGTTAAAGTAGTTATAAGAGCAAGAAGAGGGGTTATATGTGTACTGTTGTACCATTTTTCCTCTCATGTAGGTTATGTGTACTGTTGTACCAATTTTTTCCTCTCATGTAGTCTACATTATCGTTGAATCTGTGTTGTGATAATTTTTTTGATTTACATGTAGATACATGCACATATATGTATGTGTTAACATTACAGAACCATGCTATACTGTTGTAGTTTAAAGCTAGAAAACTAATCCTTNGCACATATATGTATGTGTTAACATTACAGAACCATGCTATACTGTTGTAGTTTAAAGCTAGAAAACTAATCCTTTTTCATAGTTGCTATCAAATAAAATTTAATGAACTAATGCCCATAATTTTGACCATGGTTTATATAATGTATTGGCAAAGTTTTCCTGACATTTTTATGTTTATTTTCTAAAAATAATTGCCGAAGATTATTGATGATAGAGGGGGCACATAGAAAGTGCAACAGAGGTGACCAAGTTATGGCCTTAATGGATCCAGGCCTATATAAGCAAGATGCCTTTGTACACTTTCTAGGATTTCTTTTAATATATACATTTTGCACAATGTTGTATAAAACCTTTGATATGATGGTTGGTAGGTTCATAGCATGCGGATTAAAGGTCTTGTGTTTGTTATCTTTAGATACCATGGTATAATTCAGTTGAAACTTCTTCTGAATTTTTTAATTGCTAATCTTACAGGTAAACGGCTGGGAGATAATTATAGAATCTTCATAATGGAGTGCGTTGTTCAAGGAATTGTAGAGACACAGGCAAGTTCAAAAACTAATACTTGAGTTATAAATAATCTTGGTCATTAGATNATAATGGAGTGCGTTGTTCAAGGAATTGTAGAGACACAGGCAAGTTCAAAAACTAATACTTGAGTTATAAATAATCTTGGTCATTAGATGTTGTACCCATACATTGTATTTTTTCCTATGCTACTGAAGCAACTGAGAAAGCATTTCGAGTTATGAAGCTTTGAAAAGGAAATGGGATGTTTTAGCAATGTGAAGGAGTGGAAGAGCTTTAGACTTGTTAAGAGTAGAGCAGAACTGAAGTCCACATTCAGTGCAAAAATTCAGATTGTAGAAACTATAATTCTTTTCTACAAGGCCTGTGCAGTCCACTGACTACAATATCTGTGGTCATTAATTGTGTGTGTCCAGATTCATCTTAGGGACAAATTGCAGAAAGGATGGGGTTTCATGCAATAAGAAAATACATAATCAACCAATCCTTGGGCAACCGATTTTTTCTAAAATAGGTGATAAGCATGTTTCCATTTGGAGTGAACTAATTATCTTTAATTCAAGCAACTCTTATGTTCCAAGAAAAAAAAATCTGAGCAATCTTATTCTGTACATTTTACAAACCTCAATTTAAATGAGGATGTTGTTTAACCTGAAGGGCTATTTCCTTTCACTGCCTTGTTCCAAATTTGCAAGTTTTTACATGGCATATAACATTTACTCATTGTGTCAATGTGTATCTATAACTGCAAAATAAAGATGTTCTTATTGCAGACTCCCTCTTGGATGCATGGTTCTGTGCTTATTTTTGCCTTTTTCTCCCTGTCACAATCAAGGTCTGGGATGGCAGGAGAAAGGTTTTAAATACAGATGCTTTTACATGTACAGTCTATATTTGATGATCATCAATTTTAATCTTAACGCTCGGGAGAGCTCCACGGTGGGAGCATACTTGATTGGGAGTTTGGTGTGTTGGTTGTTGGGGGGAGTTGTGGGTCTGGTTTTCTGATATTTTGCTTTCCTTTTGCAGCATGTTGAAGCCCTTGAAATTCTTCTTCAAGGTCTATGTGGTGTTCATAGAGAACGTTTAAGGATCCATGAAATGTGCTTAAAAAGTGGACCAAACCTAGGTAAGTGATAATTGGGCCATAATATGGAATTTTTTGGCAAGGAAAAATTTGTGCAAAAATACTTAAAGGTGTATGGCAAATGACTACACCCTCTCTGCGTGCTATTAGACCCTGATAATAGTTTGATGCAAGTATTTTCCCATTGTGATGTAGTAGTTCACTTTAATTGGTATTTTATTAAACGCTTCTGCCTGATCCAACTGCTATTGTACTTTTAATGTTCACTGTTCACTGCTGTCATAACACGGGTAATCCTATTTACACATGGATTTATATCACAAACTTACATGGTGAATATGGCTTCCTTTTTAACAGAATTATGCTACTTCTTATGGTCTTTGGAGGACATTGTCTGGTCCCCTTTGTTACACAAATCTACTAAAAGTCTAGTTCTGTTGTGATCTGGCTGACACAAGGTTTGATCTCTCCTGTTCTCAGGACTTGTAGCTTCAGAGGTTCGACTTTTATGCGATCTTGAGCAGCCTGAACCCGCTTGGTAGAGAATAGAGTTCTTGTGCAGGATAAATTAAGTTTGGCACCGTGCTCCTTTTTGTAATGGAATATTAAACGTGCAGGACTGTTAAACATGTGGGGGGTGCAATGAGAGGTGCCGGCGCTGAACAAATTTCTGTCCTGGTGAGGACCATGGTAGAAAGCAAAGCAAGCAAGAATGTGCTCCGCGTGTTTTATGCACTTGGCTATAAGTTAGATCATGAACTGCTAAGAGTGGGATTTGCCTTCCATTTTCAAAGAGGAGCTCAGATTACCATTACAGTGTCCTCAGTTAATAAGATGCTCAAACTGCATGCAACCGATGAGGCAGTGCCTGTGACCCCAGGCATTCAACTGGTTGAAGTGACAGCCCCTGCATCATCTGAAAACTACACTGAAGTTGTTGCTGCAATGTCATCTTTCTGTGAATATCTTGCACCGTAAGGGCTGAAATTTTTAATGTTTTATTGCCGATTAGTGTAAGAGCCATTAGCTGCTGGCTTGAGTGGGTTTCCTTTTCACCTCAAGATGGGTACAAGGTTTAAGTTCTGGTTGAGACATTGTGTGTGGTATAACATGTGACTCTACCAGAATAGCAAACCTTGTTTCTTGTATGAATGTGGTCAGAGACTCTTCACAGCACCTGGGAACTTGCTCTACATGTAGAGTCTAGCATCTCACTGGCAGACACCTTGAAACTTGCTAGTAATCTGTTTGCCTGGAAATTTTCCAGAGTGACACACACTACACATCTAAGCACTGTGGACATACATACCATGGATCCTTGAAAATGTCTGATTTGGGTATATAATCATCCAATGTAATTTGCAATTTGACGGATGCAGTTCACAGATTTGTCTTCCATGAGAGCCACTAACTGATTGATTGTAATAAACATGAGTAGGACTGGAGGATCAATGAGATCTTGGTCATGCATGTTTTAGACTTGGTGGCATCTCAACTCCCATCTGGTGATTAATACCAACAGTTTGTT